ACATCAACAACATCAACAACATCAACAACATCACCAATAAACAACAACAACAACAACAACAACAACAGCAGCGCAGTGGCAGCATCAACAACAATCAACAACAGCAGCAACAACAGCAACGACAACAGCAACGACAACAGCAACGACAACAGCAACGACAACAGCAACAACAACATCAACAGCACGGACAGCCTCACCATGACCGACGTTGAAACAGTCCCTGTAGTTGTCACCGAACACAAAGCCTTGGCCCAGGTCAGGAGTAGTGCAAAATGTCCGCTGTTTACCTAATTTGGTCTGAAATAATGAATTTAGTCAAAGTAATTGATTTACTGAATGGAGGTTAGGAGTTGGGAGTAGTATAAAAATAAAATGTCTGCTGTTTTACCTAATTTTGCTTGAAAAAATGAATTTATTTAAAGTAATTAGTTTACTGGAATGTTGAGGTTAGAAGTAGCGTAAAATGTCCACTGTTTACCTAATTTGGTCTGAAATAATGAATTTAGTAAAAGTAATTAATTTACTGAAATAGTGTTGTCAGGAATATTTTACTAAATGTCCCCCGTTTACCTTTAAAAATGTATTAAAAAAATTTTTTAGTAAGTGTTTGACAGCACTTGCAACACAATTAAGTCATATAGATTCTAAGTGCCGAAGATTAGAGGTGTTACAAAAGAGTATAAACACAAAAAAGAAGGAGAGATAAAGATGATAGATGTTTGATAGTGATATGAAAGAAAAAGCAAACCACACCAGAGCACCCACCAACCACCCACACGCCGTTTACCAAATTAGGTCTGAAATAATTTAAAATTAGTAAAAGTCATTAATTTACTGAAATGGTGGTGTCATATAGTACTCTTGACAAAGGAGTGAATTTGACAAGTACCCCTGGGTGTGATCACTCGCTTTTACGTACGTACGTACACACGCACAAACGAACAAACACCCACGTGGGCGTTCTCTCCCTCCCTCCCTCCCTCCCCTCTCTCTCTCCCTCTTTCTCTCTCTCTCTCACACACACACACACGCATACACATGCACGCACACACGCTCACATACACACACACTCAAACTGGCACTTACGCTCACGCACACACACACACACACACACACACACAAATCCACCTGCAACAGCTGCATGTCCTCTCAGTTTTCCGCCCATTACAGGGATCATAGGCTTAATCTTACGTCTCTCAAATCACTCACATTCTCCTTTCTTCTCTCTCTCTG